CAACATCATGGTGTTAGTCCTGCCTCCACCCACGGGAAGAGGAGAACCATCAGAGTATTGGATCTGCTTGCACCCACCAGAAGAGAATCTTGGGCACAGGGAGAGACCCTATCAGCACCCACTGGAAGAAGGGATGGGAAGATGACAATATAAGAACACATTCAACAACAGAAAGATCAAGATGGTGCCACCAGACTCTAGGGACTCCACACTAGTAAGACATGAACATCCCAACACAGATGAACGACCCTGAAAAACAACTTCATGAAAATGAAAGAGACCTTCAAAGAGGAAATGAGAAAATCCCTTAAAGAAATAAAAGAATAAACAAACAAAAAATTCAAGAAATGGAGGAAAAGGCAAACCAAAAAATTCAAGAAATAAATAAATCTCTTGAAAACAAGGAAAGTCAAGGAAAAAACTCAAGAAAAGAAAAACAAACAAACAAACAAACAAGTGAAGGAAGCGATTCAAGCAGTGTAAGGCTTGAAAGCTGAAACAGAGACAATAAAGACACAGTCTGGGAGAATGCTGGAAAAAATGCTGGGTAAACCATCAGGGACTACACACACAAGCATAACAAACAGAATACAAGAGATGGAAGAGAGAATCTCAGGTGTTGAAGATACACTAGGAGAAATAGATTCATAGACCAAAGAAAATCTTAAGTCCAACAAATAAGTCATAACAATAAATATCCAGGAATGTAGAGAGCCACCGGTGCCACTCCCAAAGATGGCGTCCATGAGCCAGCAAGGCATGGTTGTTTTCCACCCGAAGGATAGCAATGCACATGCATAGCACACTTCATGGGGGGGGGGGTTGTCACGAGTATCGTGAGCTGCACCAATCAGTAATGGACATGACTCCTCTGAGCATATATAAGCAGAGCCCTTTTTCCTCCTCAGGGTCCTTCTTCATCTTGCGGTAAGAGCTGCACAATAAAGCTATGCTACAGAAGAATCCTGTTGTTGAGCGTCGTTCTTGCAGGCGAGGCGACAGCGCTCGACACAGGAACTATGGGACACCGTGAAAAGACTAAACCTAAGTGATGGGAGATGTCATTCTGTAAATATGTTTCTCATAGTAGTTAATGAATAAAGCATTGTTGGCCAATAGGAAGGCGAGATAGGCAGAACTAGGAGAAAAGGAGAATTCAGGTAGAGGTAGGGAGAGATTCAAAAGGTAGGACCAAAAGGGTAGAACACTGGATCCTCTCTCCAGTATGATAAGACCACATGGAAATACTTAGATTGATAGAAATGTGTTAATATTTAAGACAGAGCTAGCCAATAAGAAATGCTAGTAACAGGCTAACAGCTTTATATTTAATACAGAGTCTCTGTGTGTTATTTGGGGCTGGTGCAGCTCTGGGACCAGGCAGGTGGGAAAAACAACTCGTAACACCTAAGAATAGTAGTTATAAGAGAAGGTGAAGAAACCCAACTCAAATGTGCAGAAAACATATTCAACAAAATCATAGAAGAAAACTTTCCCAACTTAAAGAAAGACATGTCAATAAAAGTACAAGAAGTTTAGAGAACACCAAATACTAGACCACAAAAAAGTCCCCTTAACACATAGTCAAAACATGAAACATACAGAATAAAGAAAGAATATTTAGAGCAGCAAAGGAAATAAGCCAAGTAACATGTAATGGAAACCCTATCAGAATTACACCTGACTTCTCCATGGAAACCCTGAAAGCCAGAAGGTCCTGAATAGGTATTCTACAAACACGAAGAGACCATAGACGCCAGCCCAGACTACTGTATCCAGCAAAGCTTTCAATTACTATAAATGGAGAAAACAAGATATTCCATGGCAAAACCAGATTTAAACAATACATATGCACCAATACAGTCCTAGAACTATACAATGGAAAAAAGAAAGCATCTTCAATAAACGGCATAACTGGATACTGGCATGTAGAAGATTGCAGATAGAGCCATATCTATCACCATGCACAAAACATAAGTCCAAGTAGATCAAAGACCTCAATATAAATCCAGCCACATTGAACTTCTTAGAAGAGAAAATGGGAGGTACCCTTGAACAAATTGGTACAGGAGACCAGCAACACAAACACTCAGATCAACAATTAATAAATGGGACCTCCTGAAACTGGGAAGCTTCTGTAAGGCAAAGGACACAGTCAACAAGACAAAATGGCAATCCACAGAATGGGAAAAGATCTTCACCAACCCCACATCTAACAGTGGGTTGATTTCCAAAATATAAAGAGAACTCAAGAAGCTAATTACCAAAACACCAAATAATCCAATTAAAAATGGGGTACAGAACTAAATAGAGAATTCTCAATAGAGGAATCCAAAATGGCTGAGAGACACTTAAGAAACTGCTCAACATATTTAGCCATCAGGGAAATGCAAACCAAAATAACTCTGAGATACCATTTTGCACCTGTCAGAATGGCTAAAATCAAAAACACCAACAACAGTTTATGCTGGAAAGGATGTGGAGAAAGGGGAATACTCCTGCACTGCTGTTGGGAGTGCAAACTTGCATAGCCACTTTGGAAATCAGTATGGCATTTCCTCAGGAAAATGGGAATCAGTCTACTTCAAGATCCAGCAATTCCACTCTTAAGGATACACATTCATACAACAAGAACATCTGTTCAACTATGTTCATAGCAGCATTATTTGTAATAGTCAGAACCTGGAAACAGCCTAGATACCCCACAGCTGAAGAATGGATAAAGAAAATGTGGTACATTTACACAATGGAATACTACTTAGCAGAAAAAAGACAAACAAACAAAAAAAAAAAAAACAAAAAAACAGTGGAATCTTGAAATTCACAGGGAAAAGGATGGAACTAGAAGAAATCATCCTGAGTGAGATAACCCAGTCACAAAAAGACAAACATGGTATGTATTCACTTGTAAATGGATTTTAGACATAGAACAAAGGATCACCAGCCTACAATTCACACCTCTAGAGAAGCTAGGAAACAAGGAAGACCCTAAGAAAGACATACATGGTCCCCTGGAGATGGGGAAAGGGGAAAGAACTCTTGAGCAAATTGGGATCAAGGGGGTAGGGGAGAGGAGGTTAGGAGAAAGAGAAGGGAAGAGGAGGGGGAAGGAAGACATGAGGGACCAGGAAGATTGAGTTGTGAGAGGGGAACAAGAAAAAAGATACCTTAATAGAAGGAATCCTTATAGGTTTAAGGAGAAGTCTGTCACTAGGGAAATGTCTAGAGATATACTAGGATGACCCCAACTAAGAATCCAAGCAACAGGGGAAAGTCTATCTTAAATGCCCTTCCCCTGTAATGAGATTGGGGGCTACCTTATATGCCATCATAGGGCCTTCATCCAGTAACTGATGGAAACAGAAGCAGAGACCCCCCCCCCAGCTAAGCACTGGGTTGAATTCCTGGAATCCAGTTGCAAAGAGGGAGGAGTGATGAGCAAAGGGGTCAAGACCATGCTGAGGAAACCCATAGAAACAGATGACCTGAACAAGTCTGGGGGGGGTGCTCATGAACCCCAGACTTACAGCTTGGAAACCAGCATAGGATGGAAGCAGGCCCCTTACGTGTGGGTGTCAGTTAGGAGGCCTGGGCAATCTATGGGGCCCTGGTAATGGAAAAGCATACCTAGTGTATGAATGGACATGGGAGCCTATTCCCCATAGAGGGATACTCTCTTAGCCTAGACACACGGGGAAGGGCCTAGGCCCTGCCCCAAATGATGTTACAGACTTTGATGATTCCCCCATGGAAAGCCTCACCCTTTCTATGGAGCAGAAGAGGGATGGCATGGGGGTTGGTGGGGGGGTTCTGGAGAATGGGAGGGAGAGGGAACTGGGATTAATATAAAATAAGATTGTTTCTAATTTAAATTTTTAAAAAAGAAAAAATATATAAAAATAAGCATGAACTATAAAATATGCAAAAATTTAAAAAAACACATGAAATAAATACAATATATAAATATAAAAATAAATACAAAATGTAAATATATAATATGTAAAATAAAACATGCATAAAATAAATAATATATATATACATATGTATATGTATATATATATATATACACACAAAATATATAAAGTTGTCAATGTCTACAAAGAAAGAGTTTTCAGGGAGGTAACAAATAAGACACATGTGTATTCTTACCTAGCTGTTAATGCATCATGCAAATACAAGCTTAGTCTGTCTTTTGTTTGAGCTCACAACTGTGGAAGACACAAGTCAATCAACAAAGTAGAAAGTACAATCAACAGGAGGTGAGAAAGAATGTCACCCTAGTCTTAAAGTTCTAAAGTAGGACATTCAAGGCTTAGTGTTGTTTGTTTTTTTAAACAGGCCTCAACATGTAGCCCTGGATAAAGTGGAATTCATTTTATGTAGAGCTAGCTGGCCTCAACTCTCAGAGATCCCCCTGCCTCTGACTCCTGAGTGATGGGATTAAAGATTTATGTCATCATGTGGGATTAAAGACATGTCATCATGTCCAGCAAGGTATTCAAGTTTTATGGAAATAAATTAAAAATTAAATACTGATTGTTTGACCATTTAAAAAAAAAAGTACAAAATCTTGCATGTTTTAAATAAACATAAATAATTACATTTGCAAATCTTTTCAAATGCTACCAAGCTTATTAGGGAAGCAGAGGCGCAATGTTAGCAGGTGTTGTCTCGAATCTGGGATTTGCACCTCGACTATATTCTTAGTCATTCTGTGTGAATGAACTTTTCCTTCGGAAGCAGCAGTAGCTGCATCCACTTTGGCAGTGTACTCTCTAGATGGATTGATTATAGGCAGCAAATGACAAGCTTAAGAAAAAACTTGAGAATGATGGCTGGGTGTGTTAATTAGAATTTGTGTTCGTTGTAAACGGAGCGATTTCCTGAGCTGTGGGAAGCTTTAGATCTTTGGCAGGTTACTTCTTCTCTTCCTGTTTTAACTGAAGGCTTAGCAAATGCACTTCTTGGGATACTACTTGAGAAAGGCACGGTGTGTTTTCCCGAGAGTGCAGCATTCTCCCTACAGAGAGAAGCTGATCACACCTGGACTAGTGAAGACTGGTGAGTGGGAATGCAGAGTTATCTGAGGGACAGAGATAGATGCCCATGGGTTCCAACCAGTGCCATCCTTAGTTGTTTTGTGTTTTGTTCGGGTTATTAGTGGTGCTGATGGAGGAGACTTGGTTATTTCCACTTGAAAGAAAAATAATTTGCTCTGGGGAGGGGCCCGCAGTAGATGTAAGCTTCTTCAACTTTCTGCAGTGTTGGCCATTCTGAGTAGGACTCTGAGCAGCGTTAGTTTTGGCAGGTGAAGATGACCTTTGGGGCTCTTTTAGGGTCCAATTTTAGTTATATTGGGAGGGGGGAGAAAACAGGGCAGGGAGGGGGAGGGGAGGAGAGAGGAGGGGAGAGAGGGGAGAGGCGGGAAGAGGAGGGGAGGAGCTTCCTGTGTATGGCTGTGTGCTCAGCAGAGGGCACTGGGCTAGCAAATGGCTGTAAGCTGACTAAAGGGAGTGCCTGGCAGCAAACTGTCCTCTAGAAGGAAAGCGAGCTCCCTTAACGGCTGAGCCATCTCTCTTCCTTTCACTCCTCTTGGTGTTCTTTGCTCTGAAGGAGCAGTGGGTGTGGAGGAGAAGGAAGGAAGACGAAGAGAAAGAAGAACTGAGGGGCTCGAAACCCCCATCTGAGGTATAAGCTGCTTGTAACATCTGCAAAAGTGCAGATGAAGCGGCTTCCGCATCTCTGTGATGTGTGGCAGTGGCTCTCATGCTAGTCCCTGCACAGACTAGCCCGGCCGCTCTCATGCTCCCTGCAAGGCACACCTGATGCTCCCTTCTCAGGGTGAGTAGTCCCTCCAGTTGTCAACATATCTATATACATGCTTGGAATTCCACGTGTGCATGTGTGGACGCCCGTGCAGGCGTCTGTTTACATTGGTTATCCTTTTCTGCCACATGTGAGTCCTAGGAATGAAACTCAGGTTTTGGGGCCCTGGGAGCGGAGCCCTTTGAGTCAGCTCAGCTACCTTCACTTCAGGGCTTTTGTCGGGTCTGTAGTTGTTGATAGGCCCGATGATTCTTGGTATAAGAGGCAGCTTTTACTGTGCGTCTTGCCTCCCCCCCCCCCTTTCTTATATTGGCCAAATTTCCAAGCCAAAATTGAGGAAAGCACCCATATTTCTCTTGAAGGACACAGGGTGGCATGTTTACAGGCCCAATTGTGGATTTTCACAGCCACGCGTGTGTGTTGGTGTCCTTGCCTGATTTGTTTTGCCTCCTCCATTCATTGGTTAAAATCTCTTATAACCAAAACATCAAGGTCACAGCTCCTAAAGGTTCCATAACCTCCCCCCAAACATCGTGCCCACCTAGGGACCAAGTGTTCTGACACATGAGCAGCCTATAGGAGACTTCTCTCATTCAGACCACTGCACAGCCCATCATTGAAGAGAATTCAAGGCAGCAGGTGTTTGAATCAGCTGTTCACATTACATTCACAGTGGAGAGAATGAACCATGAAGTGATACCCTCCCGCTAATTCTCCGCTCAGTTTCTCCACCCTCTTATAGTTCCAAATCCCCTGCCCAGAGGATGATGTCATCTAGAGTGGGAGGGCTTTTCACCTCAGTCTCCTTCAGATGTACCCACACGCCAAACTAATGTAGATACTTCCACACAAAACCTCCCTTTGCCAATGAGTCTAGGTTGTGTTAAATTGTCAAGTAAAACCAGCCATGAGGGACACGGTTTACGAGACAGGTATGATAACCTATGCATTTGCTCTTCTCTGCAGTGAAATGGCTGAGTCTACTCCCGTTGTGCCTGATTCATGAATTCCCTGATTTGTTTAATCAGCTCTCATGGAATCCACTACTGCCCTTGGGTGTGGGCAAGCACATGCAGTGGAGCTTGGGACACTAGCGTTGGAATTGGTGGGTCACATTGTAATAGGAGGCCTGGGCCTCATACTGTAACTGGACTCTGAGGTTCTGACATATTCCAAGGAAGAGTAATGATGGAAACATAAGGGGTTTAAGTGGAAGGCCTATTTGGGGAGCACAGAAATTGAGGATGTCTTAAAAAAAAAAAAAAAAAAACCCTGCCATCAGCTTGGGGTTTCAAAGAGGAAGAACGGCCTCAAGGGCCAGAGGATTTCCGGCCCAACCACTCTCGGTTCCTTCATGCTCTGCTGGGCTTGGTCAACAGCTCAGTTCCGTTTCTTCCAGTGGTTTGCAGAAGTTCCAGTTCCCTAATTCTGCCTACTTAAGTCTAAAGTCTTGTGACACGAAAGATGAACTTGGGGCCAATGGACCCCTTTCTCTGTTCCTCTTCCTGACTCATTGATTCTGAATCTCGGACCCCTGTTTCTGAGTGACAGTGAGGCTTGACTGCTCCCCCAGCAAGGAAAAGATTCAAAGGATGGAGAGAGGCTGACAGTTCATCAGTGCCATCAGTTTGGAGAGTTGTTCCCAGCAAAGTTCAGAAAACACTCCCTTCCCAGTCCTTGAAATGGACTGACCTTTGCCTGGACACTAAACTCTAGAGAGAGGCCCCATCTAGGTGGTTACCACAGTGACTACCGATTCTCTAGATTTGCAGGCCTCAGAAAAATCTAATGACCTTTGTAAGCCGCTTCTGAATCTTCATGGGGTCTAGGTCCATTGTGAAACAACATTTCTGGCCAGAAACAAAGGAAGGAAAGGTAAAACATGGCCGCTAACCTGCTCTGCCACCCTTCCCTACCCAAGGATGCCCTCAGAATCCCTCCATCCCGAAATGAGAGGTGGAAGGAACCCTCACTTTTTTTCATACTGAGAATTTATTTTTATTTATTTATTTATTTATTTTGGTAAAGTCACTTACTTTCTTTGCCCCAACCCCTTTTCTCTCTGCTCAGCTGCCTGATGGTAGGACAAAGAAAACACATCCCAGCATAGCTCTGAGTATGGGAGCCAAGAAACATATGCCCTTCCCTCCCCGTCAAGTCCTGTCCCACAGGCCGCACCACCAGTGCAGAGAAAGCTGGGGGGCTGAGGGGGCGGGGAAGGAAAGGGGCTGGGAAGGAAAGGGGCCAGGAAGGAAAGGGGCTGGGAAGGAAAGGGGCCGGTTCAGTTGGACATAAAGGACTACTCAGACCCTGGAATCACATCACTCCCTTCTCCCTGAAGATAATGCATGATAAAGCAGAGAGGTGCAGCGCTTCCTCCAACTGCAACTTTGTGTCGCCTTTTTTGGTGGTTTCACAGAGACCTCTGCTTTCATTTGGAAACAGAAGCGAAATACAGATGTTAATCTCGGGGTGGGTTTTACTCAGAATGTCTTATCTACACCACGTGTGACTCTCACTCTGGATGTACTCCACACACCCATAAACAGGTTTTTTTTCTTTCTTTTTTTAAATCAAACCCATCATGCTATACAGCAGATCAACACATACGAATTTGAAGACGCCATGACAAGAAGAATCGAATTCAAGAAAACCCAGCCACTGGGATGGGTTGGAGTAGCACTGTTCAGTCACTTTTGTAATTCTTTAAGAATGAAGCAGCTGTGGTTATTTTTTTTTTTTTTTTAAAGCAGCCTGCCCTTTGCAGATGGTACCCTTATACAAACGGGGCCGGTTATGTGAGAGGTTGTGGGCCAAGGTTTGGGTGGAGTGACAGATGGAGAAATTCTGGTGCTTGCAACCTTGGTTAAAAAAAAAAAAAAAAAAAAAAAAAGAGGTAATCCTGACAGGGCAGACTCACAGTTCCAAAGTGGGAACTTAGATGTAGGGAGGGTAGAAATGATGCCGAAGAAAAGAAGTAGAATCACATTTGACATTCTTCACAATTTCGGGAAAGCCCCCCTCCCCACCCTCCACTGAGGTTCTTCTCACCACACTTGAATGTAGCCACCAGAGGACGGTGGAGATCAGCTTTGTCCATCTGTGATCAGAAAATAAAGAGACTGGAAGCTTGGGTAGGAGAGGAGCTGGGGAGATCCCACCCCTTGCTGAGAAGCTAATGGCAGCGGTGCCAGGAGAGGCAAAGTCAGCTTTCTTCAGGGGCACAGCTATGAAGGGGGTGTGAAACGGGAAGGGAGAAGAGACAGGAGCAGAAGAGCTGGAGGTGGGCTGTGAAGACTGTCACCAAAATACATCGTACCTTGCATATGACATCCTCGGAGGATACCTTTCAAATATATTTTTAGAAAAGCATGCTGTTGCTGCTACTGCAGTCACAGCCTATTATCCAAATGAATCTAGTAGCTGACTGAAGATGCCATGGTACCAACTTCACTGGAGGGAAGGCTTTACTTTGCACTTATGTTATTCCCTTCTGTGACAAAAGAAAAAGTAATACGTAACAATACATCATAGATATATAAAACAACTAGCTATAACTGACTCCATCTAAATTGTAGTTGGTTTTGGTATAACCCAATATGGTTAAGGAAAACCACCAGGACTGGGGGCAGGTAGGGATAGGAAGTAGGAATTAGGTTGGGTGGGGATGGCGTAGAGGGGAAGAATGATGAAAGAGAAACATGATGCCAGGGAATCTCCCAGGAATCCAGACGGATGATTCTGTTTTCTTGTAGCTGAATAGCTGTGCCTCTGAAGACAGACTCCTAACAAGAGTGGGCATGTAGCCTGAACTGGCATTGGCAACGACTCCCATTGTCATCATCAGAGAGCCTTCATCCAGTAACTGGTGGAAACAGATGCAGAGACCCACAGCCAAACCTTAGGCCCAGCTCAGGTAATCCTGCTGAAGATAGGGAGGGGGTGGTTGTACTAACCAGAGGGGTCATGGACATCACAAGAAAACCTACACCTAGGCTCATAGGAACTCACAGAGCCTGAACTGACAACCGGGCAGCATGCAAGGGACAGACCTAGGCACTCTACTTGTGAGAGTCATAAGAGTGGGAGCAGAGGCTGTCTCTAATGCTTTGGCTGGCTCTGGGAACCAGACTCTTCATCCTTGTCCAGCCTTAATACAAGGGGAGGTGCTTAGTCTTACCATAATTTGATAAGCCATGTTTTGTTGATACCCATGGAATGCCTGCCTCTTTCTGAACAGAAACAGGGGGAGTGGGGAAGAGGTGCAGGAAGGAGAGAGGGAATGGGAGGAAAGGAAGAAGAGCAAACTTTGGTCATGATACGAGAGAGAGAGAGAGAGAGAGAGAGAGAGAGAGAGAGAGAGAGAGAGAGAGAGAGAGCAAACAAGCAAATCCATGACTTAAGGCTTAAAAAAAAAAGTGTATGTAAACTGAGTCTTAAAAGCTATCCTGAGCACATTTTTAAGCGGGAGAGATACACTCAGTAACAAAGAAAGATGTTGGGATTTTTGCATAAAGTTTGAGAAACAATTAAATGCAGAGTCCAAAAGTAAGTCACTGTGAATGCAGAACAGAAAAAAAACCCCAAACCACACTAGAACTTAACGTTCCAGACACCGCTGCCAACAACATCAAAGTTTATGGTCTCTGACAGAGTTCGGTACTTTTCGTTCCTGCTCACACATGTGTAATAAAGCACAGCATGCCTTTCTACCAGCAGAGAGCCAAACAAAACCTCCCTGTGGCTGTCACTCAAGTCTGCCCACAACACCTCTGCTTTTCCCAGCAAGCTACCCTTGTCTGCCTAAGCTCAGAGCAACTTTCCGCCTGTGGCAACTGGTTCTTATTCACCAGAGCCCAAGGCTTCCCAAAACAGGAATTTCCCGTTCTAGTTCTAGGGGAAGCTTACACAACTGCTTCTCCCTGCTTCCTGGGATGAAATGGCTAGTTCTATAAACATAAAACTTGGAAGGTAAGGACCTACTCAAAGGGCTCAAAGGAGTGAATATCAGCCACCAAACAATTCAATAAATTAGGGCTTACTTTTAAGTGCCTATAACTGTGTTAGGATAATAAATTCTGCAGAAAACTAGTTTCAGGGTTGTTGGCTTTTGTCTTTTGTTGTAATTTTGGGTTTTTTTTTTTTTTTTTAAAGGGGATCAAACAGTTTCCAAATAACCTCTGCTAAGTTTGAATATTGAATGTCTCCCGGAGACCTATGTACCTTGCTAGGCAGCCTGGGACAATGCTAATAGGGAAGTGGAAGAAACTCTCAAATCTGGGGGTCTACTGGGAGAAAGTTAAGTCACTGGGATCAATGCAAAAACACAGAACTTACCCTCTAGGAGGTAGTTTACTATGGAACCATTGTGAGTGACAAGAGCCCAGGAACACAGACTTAGGTTACCCCAAATTCCATGGTCCAATATGGAAACAGCTTTGAGGAGTTTTATACTTTTGCAGAACAAAGAGACACAGAAGTCCAGGTGAGTTTAAAATACACCAGCAGGGACACCAGAGAGAGAGGAAACAGGAATCTCTTCTAGAGGCCTCAGGTACCTTCTGATGGCATTAGCTTGGGGGGAACTAGTAGTCTGCTAAGGAAATGCATTCCAAGAGGTTTTTACCTATTTCTCATAGGATGTGAGAGGTGATCCAGGAATTCAGGGCTAGAGGTAGTCTGATATAGGGCAGTTAGCCTCTAGACCTGCAACACCTGCACACCACTACTGTCCATATCTGCCAGTCTTTGAACAGTTTCCAGCCTCTTTACAGGAAGGCCCACTGGCACTGTGGTTTTGGCAGATTGTGTAAGGGCTTTGTCTCTCTACCTTTCCCATCTTGACTGGGGAGGGAGTAGTGCTGATCAACCCTGTAATTTCCCATCCTGTCCTGTTGCCTTAGCACAGGCCCAGAAGCAATAGGGCCAATCAGCCATAGTCTGAAACCTACGCAACCTCTACCAAATGAGCCTTTTCTCTTTATAAGTTTCCATTCTCAGGGATTTTATTATAGCATCAAAGATTGGTGTAACATCCTTTGACAAGTTACTTTACCCTGTTTTTCTTTAAAACAGAATTTTTTCCATTCCACAGACTTGAACTGCACCTCCTCCTTTGTGCCAGAAAATTTCCCAGGCTTTTAATTCCATGGTTATATTAAGTAGGGGAATAATAAATTTTGATACCTTGTTTCACAGAGGTCTATCAAGAACAGTACATGAATATTTTTTTGCTTCAAACTGCACTGTCAGAAACATTAGTCAAGTGTTGCTTGCCTGAGCTGCAGAGTGAATTCAAGGCCTGTCTGAACAACTCACTGAAGAACATTCCTCAGAAAACCAAGTAAAAAGCAGGCTGGATATGCAGCTCTGTGGGAAATACACAGCTCTGGGAACTACACCCGTATCCAGGAAAACGAAACTGATCCTTAATCTTGTTTGTTTTTGTATAATTCAATAGATGGGACTATCCCAAAAATTACAGCCAGAAAGTTTCCATGAGTCATTTCTCAATCATCCTGAGAAGTTAGGTGACAAGAAAATAAAAATCCCTAAAATCCAAGGTGATGTATAAGCAAGACAAGACTGTTGTGAGCTATCCTGGAGAGAGCAAGACAAATGTGATCTTTGTTTAGGTATGCTGCTGTGGTAAGAGAGCTAAGGCCTAGGGTTTGTATGAAAGCTTCAGGGCTACAGTCATGGCCCTCAGCCAAACAAATGGGAAACTGCTTCATATTTCTGGATTTATTTAGGCACTTGGCTTGAGTTTGAATAAACAAGTCTGGGAAAAAACCTGGAGCCGCTGCCAAGGTCATAGAAGGACATGTGGTGAGTGAGTGTGTGTGTGTGTGTGTGTGTGTGTGTGTGCCCTTGACTCAGCTCGCACAGGAAAGCAGAGGGGAGGATCAGAGGGTTCTACATAAAAGCATAAAAATCTATGTTATTTCCTTCTTTTATTGTTTTTAAAATGAGTAAGCTGTAAAAGCAAAAGATATGGAAACAAAGATTATGCTGTCTTCCTGATGTTGTTGTACCAGAGCCTAATAGTATCCTGAGCACGCAATAGCTGTCCAGCTGAGGTCTGGTGGGATAAACTGAGGGCTTTCTCATTGAAGCCCACCTTACCTGCCAACTAATGTCAACACACCTAGGATCACACCATACATGTGGACTGTTGATGATTGTAGCTTTCCCCCAAGATCCCAGCTCAGTTTATAAAAAGCTGAAAGTTAGTTCAACTCTTAAAGAAGAAAAAGTTAGATAGAAGACAGATGTCCCTCTCATCCACCATGAGAGAGTCCAGCAAATAGATTTTGAATATTTGTTTATTTATTTTATATCCTGACTACAGTTTCCCTTGCCTTCTCTCCTCCCAGTCTTTCCCCCATCTCCCCCTTTGTCCCTCCACTACCGAACCTTCTTCGTGTTCTATTCAGAAAAGAGCAGACCTGTCATGGATATTGACAAAACATGATATATCAAGATAAAACTAAGCATTGCTTTGTATTAAGACTGGACAAGGCAACCTAGTATGAGGAATAGGGTCCCAAAGTCAGCAAAAGAGTCAGAGACAGTTCCTTCTCTCACTATTAGGGAGTCCCAAAAGAACAAGCTACACAACTGTCACATGTATGTGGAGCACCTAGGTCAGTCCCATGCAGGCTCCCCAGTTGTCAGTTTAGTCTCTGTGAGCTCCTATGAGCCCAGGTTAGTTGTTTCTGTGGGGTCTTTTTGTTATGACCTTGACCCCTCTGGCTCCAACTGTTTCCTCCCTCTCTTTAGCAGGATTCTCTGAGCTAGACCTAAGGTTTGACTATGGGTCTCTGCATTTGTTTCCACCAGTTGTTGGATAAAGCCTGTGTGATGACTGTTGGGCTGGGCACCAATCTATGAGAATAACAGAATACCATTAGGCATCATTACACTGACATTATTTCCCTCTCAGTCCTGTTTGATTCTATCCTAGGTCTCTGGGTCATCCAGCCTCTGGATCCTGGTGATCCAGGAAGTTTAAGGCATAGGGTCCCTCTTGTGATATAGGTCTCAGGCTGGACTGGTCATTGGTTGGCCACCACAATCTCAGTGTCACCCTTACCCCAGAACATGCTAAAGAAGGGCAGACTGTAGGTCACAGATAATGTGGCTGGGTTGGTGTCTCAGTCCCTCCTCTGGAAGTCTTACCTCATCACAGGAGATGGCCATTTCAGGATAAGTATTTCCTATTGCTAGGAGTATCAGCTGGGGGCATCATTGTAGATTCCTGGGGGATTCTCTTGTACAAGGTTTCTATCTGACCCTGAAATGCTGCCCCCTTTCCAGTCAACTCTGTCCATACTATTTCCCTACCCCACCCCCATCTGTTTCCACCCTTAACAACCCCAGGCCACACACAAAAGCTCTTCTTTTTCCCCTTCCCATGAGATTTGAATGCCCCCTCTTTGTTACTTAGTCTCCCTGGGCCTGTGGATTGTAGTATGATTATCTTTTACTTTACAGCTAGTATCCACTTATGAGTGAGTACATACCACATTTGTTTTTCTGGGTCTGGGTTACCATCCATTTGTCATTGTATAGGTGGTCCATTGTCAGGACCACCAGCTCCCCAATAGATATACAGAGACTTAATATTAATTATAAATACTCTGTCAATAACTCAGGCTTGTTACTGACCAGCTCTTATACTTAAATTGACCCATTTCTATTAACCTACATGCTGTCACATGATGTTACTTCTCTTTCACCTTGCACCTCTTGTTTAATCTCTGCTTTGCTGTCCTCTTTCCTCCCAGAATTCTTTCTGCCCCCAAAATCTTACCTAGCCATTGGCTAATCAGCTTTTTATTAACAATTAGAGCAATGCATATTTACAGTGTACAAAGATTGTTCCACAGCACTTTTGAATTTCATGGTGTCGTT